CCAAAGAAACATAGGTCCCATGGTTTCCCTTATTTGCAATAACTAGTATATGTCTAGTACAAGCAGAAAAGGTCAAAAGCTATGTACATATGACCAGATAAGATGATACTAAGCAAAATGAACCCCAAGATAGGGACACAAGTGGTTTTATCTTTCTTGCTGTTGTTATTAATGTATTTATAATGTACTTTGTGATTTTTTTTGTTTCTTTTGTATGTTCTTCCCCCATGATCTAACTCCTGTTTTCACTGTATTTGATTCCAGTGCCCTGCATCTTGTACATACATTTTTCTAATTTGGGGAGGGGAAGGGGAAATAACAAAATGCTTAAATAAGGATACACGTTGACCCATTGTAACAATGAGATGTACAAGACACTATGTTGAAAAAGAACTTGAGGTGGGGAGGAGAGGAGTTGGAGAGGTGAGGGAAGGGATGGTAGGAGAAAAACAAAGGAGGAAGTAACAATGCTCTACAGGAAATGTGCTCATTAGCTTATTCATGTAACTGTAACCCCTCTGTATAGTATTTTTAGAAATATATATATATATATATGATTGGCACAATATACCTTGAGCCACACATACCTCCAATTCCAGCTTTTTGCCAGTAATGGAAGATAAGAATCTCACCGACTTTTCTGCTCAGGATGGCTTCAAAAGTTGATCCTCAGAGCTCATTCAGCCTCCTGAGTAACAAGGAGTACAGATGTGAGCCATCGGCATCTGGCTGATTATGTATTAAAAATGTGGTTCCACAAGCTGAAATCTAATTCTGTTTAGCTCTCAAATTCAGATTCCAGAGCCAAAGGTGAAGACTTCTTTCCCAAGGTGACAGCAAAACTACTGAAACGCCTCCTTTGGTACAGTCTGGATACCAACTTCCTCAGCACACAGTTCATCATGGGGTAGCCAGATTTACAAACACAGACCCCTTGCTGATGATTGGTTAGAATATAACAGGTAATTATGAAGCTCTTACTGAACACAGTTCTACTTATGTATTTTCTTTCCATTTCCAATCTCTAGAGGTTTTTTGTTTTGTTTTTCGTGTTTTTTTTTTAAATCACCAGTTAATATATATTGAATACTCACATGTTTTGGCTACAAAACCACAAACTACACAGGTTATCTATAGGTGTAATGCATTTCTAATTATTATTCACTCAGGACACAGTGATTTATTCACTAACAATACCATTACACCATGAAATATATGCTGTTTGTTCCCTGGTCCTATTTGAGATAGGTCAAGCGGGAAGATTGTCTAGATATAGTCCTTCCTTGTGGACATAATTTCTCCTCTAATACGATAAGATTTTTATGTAAAATTTGATTATGACTTAGAAAGACACAATTTCCTCCGTCCTCCAGAAATGGTGCTTCATTCCAACTCAAGTGGGATGCAGGGTGAAATCTTAGCAGCAGAACTGTTGGCTTTTTCCTGAGTATTTTCAGATTTGATTCTTCATTTTCATCCTTTCGCCAGTGATAGACAACCTTCAACTTCCAAAGCCAGCTCAGGGCTGCAGGCATTCAATCCAGAGAGCGCGATTGCGCTAACAGGGGAAAACAAAGGGTCAAGGAACCCTGCCAGGCCAGCTGTGGAGAGAAGAAGGAAGTAGGTGCAAAGCCACCCAGGCCCCACCCGCAGTGCGAGTCCGGCTGGGCTATGGACTTTTGTCCCTCCCCGCTCTCTGAGCCAGCGAGCGGTCGGTTGCTCTGCACTGCAGCCGCAGCCAATTGAAGAAACCCTAACAAAGCCCGGCCCAGCGGAAGGAAAGGTTTCAGAGTTGTTTTTTTTTTCTCCTAGGGGTTGAGCGGATCTTTTCCTTGAACCGCTGTTCGTTCAACCCACCCTCAGAAGCAACTGCGAGGGTCGGTAAAGAAGGAAAACGGAGCTGAGGCTCCCAGCCGCCGAAAGAATGAAAGTCTTCCTGAACTCCCTCCTCCTTCTGCCCTTACTCATCATCTGCAGCTTGGAGTCACTCATCAAGCTTTTTCTCCCAAAGAAGAAAAAATCAGTCACCGGAGAAATCGTGCTCATCACTGGAGCTGGACATGGAATTGGAAGACTGACTGCCTACGAATTTGCCAAACTTAAGGCCAAACTGATTCTCTGGGATATCAATAAGGTAATAGCACTTTCCATGCTTTGCTTTCTGGTACGTTTAAACTTATGGCTATATGGCTACATTTTATCATCAGCCATCCTTTACCGTGTTGTCTTAAAGAAGGCATAAGACAGTTACTTTTGCCATTCCAGGCAGAGAAAGATGAATTAATTACTCTGTTTAGGATCACATGATGAATAGACGGAGAGGAGACCCCATTCTCCGCTTCTGCCGGTCACCATGTAACATTTGTACATTCATCCAGAACTTTTGCCTTGAAAATCATTTTTCATCTTTCCCCATCCTGATTTTACTCCGTCTATCTAGATCATGTGGAAAAAATAGTCACCTACTGTGTCCTATTTGCAGCAAGTGAATTAAATGGTTTAAAAGATTACACACAACAGAAAACAATATTATTCTGCTGTGATGACTGCCAAGAGAAATTTTTGGAAATCACCTTTTAGTGAAAATATTTTTTAGAAAGGCAGGAAGGAAGGAAAAAAGAAAGAAAGAGAAAGGAAGGAAGAAAGGAAAAAAGGAAGAAAGAGAGAGAGAGAAAGAAAGAAAGACAGAAAGAAAGGAAGGAAGGAAGAAAGGAAGGAAGAAATAATTTTCAATGCAGTTTTTCCCCAGGACAAGCAAAAGTGTGGGCTTAGGGAAAAAGAAAGCCCTAAAACAGAACATTTTGTTTGACCTTTGACAGATGAACAAAGGTTTCTGGGAGGCACTGTTGAAACACTGTTGATTGCATACTAGCCAACGTCTAATTCTGTAAACAAGAATTTAAGTACCTGAGGTTAAATAAGTATAGCCCAAGGGATAGTTAATGAAGATTATAAGCAGCAAGTACTAATTATTAACAGTCTAGACATTAAGATCACATAGAAAATAGAAGGGGCCCTAAATCCAGCACAAAAAATATGTTATTGTTTTTGTTATTTTTGGTTCTAGTCCTAGGCTTGAACTCCAGGCCTGCTTCTCTTCCTGAGCTTTTGCTCAAAGCTAGGGCTCTACCACTTGAGCCACAGCTCCACTTCTGACTTTTTCTGAGTAGTTTAATGGAGATAAGAGTTTCCTGGACTTTACTGCCCTGGCTGGCTTCCAACAGCCATCCTCAGACCTCAGCCTCCCAAGTAGCTAGGATTACAGGTTTGCACCACAAATCCCTGGGAAAATAGTTTATAAGTAACAAATAGGGCAGTGAAAGATAACAAGAAGGCTTATAGGCCTCGGGCTGTGGTCTGCCTGGTGGTTTGGCCAGACATAAATGCTTAGAATCTTAGTCATTTCTTTTCTTTTTTTTTTTTTGGCTTTTTTTTTTTTTTTTTTTGGTCCGGTGGTAGGGCCTGAACTTTGGGCCTGGGCGCTGTCCCTAATCTCTTCAGCTCAAGGCTAGCGCTCTACCACTTGAGCCACAGCGCCACTTCCGATTTTTTTCTTATGTGGTGCTGAGGAATCGAACCCAGGGCCTCTGGCATGCAAGGCAAGCGCTCTACCACTGAGCCACCTTCCCAGCCCCGAGAATCCTAGTCATTTCTTAGCTTAGAGACTTAGTCAGATTCTTAGAACTTTAGTTTTCAGAAACAATGGGCAATATAACTGTCCCTTCAAAAATCAGGAAAATGATAGGAGAAAATGCATGAGATGATTTAGCCTTGTGAGGCATATAGTAAACACACTAGTTTGCTAGTTATTGTTCTTCTTTGACAAAGAGGAAGCAAGTTCATGGTTCCCCATCAGTGCCTAGAGTTGATTAGCACAAAATTTCTCTGATCTAAAATGATGTTCATGTATCCAACAAATTCTTATCAAGCATTTACTTTCTACCACACAATGTGGATACAGAAGGAAAGAAAAAAAAAAAACAGCTGCTGCATGGGCCAAAGACAGTGAATAAGTCTTACTGCATAATAATATAATTATTGGATGCTGTTAAGTATAAAAGAAAAATAAATAATACTTGAAAGGAGATAGGGTTGTATGTGGTGGGGAGGGCTGGGTTTACTATTTCATACAAGTGTCTAGAGAAGGCCTCATTAAAAAAGATAAAATAAACAAGATAGAGACATTAGAGGCTTGAGATGTAGCTCATTGGTGAACATTTGCCCACCAAGCAAGGCTCTGGGTTCTATCCTCTGCACTACAATAAAAAAAGATAGGGACTGTTGAGTCATCATCAGATGCTGAGAACACAGGGAGTCCTATGCTCTGTCTGTGGAGAGTGCCCAGCAAATGCAATACCTGGCACAAGGTGAGGGAACAGCGAGAAATAAACAGCTGTCAAATACAGAGCCAGGGAGTAGCCACTGGTCACTTGTGGCAATATGGCAAATCTGAGCTAAGGTATGATGTCTGTAGCCCACTTGTTTTTGACAAGTTAGCGTGAAAAAAGAATGTAGAATATCATGTTTAATTTGCTAAAATGACAATGATTTTTAACATACAGGGTAAATAAAAGGATCAGTTGAATAGTTCATCAAATACGCAGGATTGTAGACATTGCCCATTGTTATGTAGAAACTGTTGGCCATGAATCTGTTCAGATTTTGCTGCCTATTTTGTGATGCAAAGTTCAGCCTGACCCTGATTCACTCTGCTTCATGAGCTGTGGGTAATAGCATTCAGCCTTTTCTTGACTTCCCACACTTGAATCAATCATCATAATGTCAACTTAGTTCAGTGTTACCTGTGGTACACATACCCCCAAATTAGGGCCTGTTGGAATAATAAAAAGCAAAGCAGAAAACCATTAGAAGAGTTTGACATAATATGTTGTGCTTTATTTGTCTGAATTTATGTGGTACAATCAATTTGGAAATAATGCTTTCAATTCCCCATGTCTGAACCATTTCTTGTTAACTATGACATGTTTGGCATTCATATGTTTTTAGAACAAATACCCAGGAATTAGTACAAATATCCACAAGTCATCTCATGATAAAATAGGTGAAGGCACCTAAGAGACAAATTGTTCAGGTAATTCAGAGAAAATATACTGTTAAATCTTATTTTTCTAGCCAGGCAACAGTGGCTCATACCTGTAATCCTTGCTTAGCAGGAAAAGATCTGAGCTCAAATCACAGTTCAAAGCCAGGCCAGGCCAGGCAAGAATATCTGTGAGATTTCTTATTCCCAACTAACTAGCATAAAGCTAAAAGTGGAGCTGTGGTTTGTGTATAAAGTTCTAGCCTTTAGCAAAAGAGCTATGGGACAATGCCCAGGCCATGAGTTCAAGCCCTAGTACCAGCTCTATATATACATTTTTATGCATATACAGTTATTTTTATATAAGGAAAGGTTAAATTAGGGGAGGAGTTGACAGGGAAGAATGATGAAAGGAGGGACATCTCTCAAGATGCACTGTACTTATGAATTGATTTGTTAACTGGTAACTCCTTTGTACAACAACTTACAGATAATACAAATATCATTTTTTAACATTTAAATTAGATATGTAGTTCACATTACATTTCTCTGGGACAGTGCTGGTCTAGAGATGTACCTATTGTTTGAACCTGGTATCTCCTCTTGGGAAAGCAATGGAGGGTTTGCCTCATTTTCTATTGAGAAGGATCCTGCAGCCTCCAGCTGAAGAACAAAGTGTTAAGGACAGTTGGAAGGAACAACAAAGAGGTTAAGACACTATTGTGGTAATCCCAGTAAGAGGTCATATGGTGGTGCCAGGTTGGTAGGAACAGAACTTGCTAGAAGTGATTGGAAAACATTAAGGACCAGATAACGAGCTCTTTATCAGGTGCAATGAGTTCAGTTTTAAAACTTCACCTTTTGCCTGGGGATTATAACCTTCCCAATTGCAATAGGTCATCTGTTGGTCTCTTGCCTTCTGTTGCTTTTTCTAGCATGGCATTGAGGAAACTGCTGCCCAGTGCAGGAAACTTGGGGCCCAGGCTTATTCGTACGTAGTAGACTGCAGTAACCGGGAAGAGATTTACAGCTCTGCAAAGAAGGTAAGAATTTTTGCATTCATCTAGAATCACATCTGTTAGCACTAGGAAGTATTTTGAAGATCAAGTCTGTTCATGATATAAAGTAATTGGCAAATATTGTGATTTTTTTTTTCTCCCAGTAGCTGGCTAGTAGTAGACCCAGATTTAGAACTAAGATTTGCAGATCATGGTATATTCCAGATCTTTCCAGGAAGCTTTTTTAAATATATACCCTTGAGCTCTACTCACAGTCGGCATGAGACAGGACTCAGGAATTTATATGTTTACCAAACAGTTGAGTACCTGTGTTGTAAGTTCTTACATTTGCAGCATCCAGCAGCAGTGTTTTAGATAATGACACTTCTACTAGTAGTTAGGATTTACTTAGAGCAGAATATATATCAGAAAGTGTATGACTACGTTGTAACATTAAAAATAAAAAAGTACAAGCTGAGTGCTGGTGGCTCATGCTTGTCATCCTAGCTACTCAGGAGGCTGAGATCTGAGGATTGCAATTTGAAACTAGCCAGGGAAGGAAAGTCCATGAGACTCTTATCTCCAATTAACCACCAGAAAATTGTAAGTGGAGCTATGGCTCAAAGTAGTAGAGTACTAGCCTGAAGTGAAAGAGCTCAGGGACAGTACCCAAGCCCTGAATTCAAACCCCATGACTGACAAAAGGAAAGAAAGAAAGAATGAATGAATGAAAGAACAAACGAATGAACGGACGAAAGAAAGATAGAAAAAGTAAAAAGGACAGCTTAAGCATCAAGTTTCTATGAGTGTCCTGAACAGTGCAAATATTCTTCACAGTTCAAAGAATGCCTTCTATTGTTTTAGGCAGAAGGCTCTGTTCTCTTGCTTATTCTTTTTCAGTTGAAAGCATTTTTCCTATGATAGTTGTAGTAGCCTTTGAAATTTAGCCTATCAGCATATATAAGCCCTCCCAGTCTAGGTACCCATGGCTCATGCCTGTAATCCTACCTACTCAGGAAGCTGAGATCTGAGGATCGAGGTTTAAAGCCAACATGGCAGAAAAATCCTTATACTCTTATCTCCACTGAACCAGAAAAAAGGCAGAAGTGGAGCTGTGGCTCAAGTGATAGAGGACACACCTTGAGTGAAAAAGCTAAGAGCAAGCTGAACCTTATTGGTTCAAGTCCTAGTACTGGCACACAAAATAAAAAGTTCTCCCATGTGACCACATAATTTCTTGAATGTTCTTCCTTTTGATTAATAACAAAATAAGTAGTTATAAAAACAAATCTATACCACACACATATATTAGGAAAATATACAAATACTTTAAGATTTTATTTATCTCATACATAAGTTCCTATATTAAGTAACCAAAGATGAGCCTTGAAGGTGAAATGGGTAATTCATGCCTGTAAATCCAAGCTACTCAGAAGACTGAGATGCAGAGGATCTCAATTTAAGGTCAGCCCCAGTTAAAAAAAGTTTACTAGACTCCATCTCCCAAAAAATAAACAGCAAAAGTGTAAGGTTAGAGTGGTGTAGTACCAGGTATGAGCAAGAAAACCAGACAAGCATGAGGCTTTAAGTTCAAATCCAGTACCACAAAAAAAAAAACTTCAAACATGTACTTCATACATAGGAATGAAGTGTATAATAATACAGGGTTGAAGGTGTAGCTCAAGTGGTAGAGCACTGTCCTAGCAAGTGCAAGACTCTAGTTTAATCCTCAGTATAACATAATAACAAATAATAATATGATACACAATAATAATAGTCATAGCAATTTATAAGGCATAGAGATAGTTCCTTTATATCATTCCATTTGTTCCCACAATAACTCACAAGCAAGTTATGTTACTCTATTTTATTTCATTATTTTTTTTGTCAGTCATGGAGCCTGAACTCTGGGCCTGGGCACTGTCCCTCAGCTCTTCAGCTCAAGGCTAGTGCTCTACCACTTGAGCCAAGCATCACTTCCAGCTTTTTCTGCTTATGTGGTACTGAGGAATCGAATGCAGGGCCTCATGCATGCAAGGCAAGCACTCTACCACTGAGCCACCTTCCCAGCCCCTTAACCTCTATTTTAAAAGGAGTAATTGAAGTTTTGAAAGGCTCAATAGTTTTGTTTCAATAGTGATAGAGCAAGAACTCAAGGCTGGCCTAAGACACCCCAAACTACCCCTCCCTTCATTAGGAATGTAGGAAAATGACTGGCGAGCAGTAAGACAAAGTGATTATGAAGATATAAATATAAAAGCTGGACACCGGTGGCCTGTAATCCTAGCTACTCAGGAGGCTGAGATCCAAAGATCACCATTCAAAGCCAGCCCAGAAAGGAAATTCTGTGAGACTCTTATCTCCAATTAACCCCCAGAAAACTGGAAGTGGCTGAAAGTGGTAGAACATTATCCTTGAGTGAAAATCTCAGGGACAGTACCTATAATCATTTATATATATATATATGTATGTATACATGTATATATATATACATGTATACATATATGTGTGTATATATATATACATATATATGTATACATATAAAATGTGTGGCCAACCTCCAGTATAGTCAGTTCTCCAGAGTAGTCCCTGAAATTGCCCATAAATTGGACTCTTCTAGACTTGCCTTTTTAAATAGTGCTTCAAAAATAAATGCTGCTTAGGCAGAGGTCTTTTGAGCTATAATCAATAGAGAAACATCAACTTTGTCATAACTAAGTTTCAAAAGAAAATGTCTAACTGGGGGCTGGGAAGTTGGGTCAGTGGTAGAGCGCTTGCCTTGCATGTATGAAGCCCTGGGTTCAATTCCCTAGCACCACATAAGCAAAAAGAAAAAAAGCTGGAAGTGGTGCTGTGGCTCAAGTGGTAGAGCACTAGCCTTGAGTTGAAGAGCTGAGGGATAGCGCCCAGGCCCAGAGTTCAGGCCCCACAACCGGACCCGCCCCCCCAAAAAAAAGAAAAAAGAAAATGTCTAACTGGTATACTGGCTGGCAGAGTTGCTTTGGACAGTAAGTACTTAAAATTAAAAGAGTGTGCTTTTTTCTTCATGTCAACACAAAGACAAAACTACTTTTCCTACTACATCTAGTAGAAAAATATATATGCATTTAAGGGTCATTACATGCAAACCTACGTGCCTGCCTCTTTGTGAATGTAGTTTTCTGGTTTTATTTTAAAGGTGAAGGCAGATGTTGGAGATGTTAGTATTTTGGTAAACAATGCTGGTGTAGTCTACACATCGGATTTGTTTGCCACACAAGACCCTCAGATTGAAAAGACCTTTGAAGTCAATGTTCTTGCACATTTCTGGGTAAGCATGATTCCTTCCACAAAAACACTTTAAGCAGGGTGCTGGTGGCTCCCACCTGTAATCCTAGCTATGCAGGAGACTGAGATCTGAGGATTGTGCTTCAAAGCCAGCAGGGCAGGAAAGTCCGTGAGACTCTGATCTCCAATAAACCACCAGGAAACTGGAAGTGGCGCTGTGGCTCAAATGGTAGAGTGCTTGTCTTGAGCTGAAGAGCTCAGGATCAGTGCCCACACACAGAGTTCAAGTCCCATGACCAAAAAAGCCCAAAAAAACAAAAACACTTTGAAAACCCCAAAGATTAAGTTTAAAAGGTACTTTCAGCACATATATGAAAGTATTAAATCAGTCCTAAAATTTCCAGGGAAAACATTCTACAAGGAATTATTTTTTTTTCATGCTACGACCAAATTCTACCAATTGTCTTGCTCCCCAAATTTAATAATACTAATAATGAAGTGAATAATAATAAACTAACTTACTATTATTCGTCCTAAAATTGTATTGTCTGGGGAGTGAAGAAGAATTGAGACAGGGTCCTACTATGTAGCTCAAGCTGGCCTTGAACTATACAGCATAGGCCAGCCTTGAACTCACGAACTCACACTCTCCTGCTTCAGCCTAAATGCTGGGATTACATGTAGACACTTACCACACTTGTCTTTATCTTTGTACTTTTATGTTTGTTAAAATAAAAGACCTGGAAGTGGCATTATGGCTCCAGTGTTAGAGCACTAGCCTTAAGCTGAAGAGCGCAGGGACAGGGCCCAGTCCCAGAGTTCAAGCCCCATGACTAACAAAATATAAAATAAAAAAAAATTACAAAAAAGAAAGACATGCTGTATTTGCTTCTGCATAGGGGGTCAATGTTTAGTCCATGAATTATGAGATTGCCCTTCACTTTCATAGTATGATACTATGAGCAAACTGTTTTTTTAAATAATTTCACATTAAGTATAAATTCTCCCGTGACTCTAGTTTGATCTCCTTATTTAACACATGAAGTTGGTAGAAGACATCATTGTGTTTCATCATTTGTGTTTCGAATGTGAGCATCCTACCTAATTGCCTTATGAGAACACACTTGGCAATTTAGATTTTTTTCATTCAGACCAAAAGCAAAGTTTTTGAATGTACTTGTGTGATAAAATATTCCCAGGGGTCCTGTGGATCATAAAAAGATTTGTTTTTCTCTTTCAATGAAAACTATTTCTAGACTACTAAGGCATTTCTCCCAGTGATGATGAAGAATAACTATGGCCATATTGTCACCGTGGCATCAGCAGCAGGCCACACCACCGTTCCCTTCCTGCTGGCTTATTGGTATGTGAGTTCCACACTTACTGGTATTGGTTCCTATGCTTAACTCATGTGGGATTTCTTACTCTGTCTAAATGAGACTATCTTTATCGGGTCAATAGCCTAAATCACTGATATGCAAGGCGCTGCACCAAATCTCTTTTAAAGCAACATTATTGCTAGAAGCCAGTGGCTCACACCTGTAATCATAGCTACTTGGGAGGCTGAGTTCTGAAGATCAAGGTTTGAAGCCACCTAAGGCAGTAAAGTCCTTGACATTCTAATCTCCAATTAACTACCAAAACACAAGACATAAAACTTAAGTGGTAGAGTGCTAGCTTTGATCATAAAAGCTAAAGGACCATATCCAGACCCTGAGTCTAAGCCCTAGTACTAGCACCAAAAAGAAAGAAAGAAAGAAAGAAAGAAGGAAGGAAGGAAGGAAGGAAGGAAAGAAAGAAAGAAAGAATATTGTTCTAGAGGTGGCTGTGGGAATTTATGCAATTGCAGACAAACATCTTAACTCATTTCTTATCCTTTTCAACAGCAAGGAATTATAAAACAAGGCTGGTATTTTTGTATCGCTAAAAAATTTATATTAATCATTTACATGATCAATATTAATTAATTACTTGGGATATAACTATCCAAGTAAAATTTTTCCAGAAAGAAAACACAATGAAAAAGAGGGAAAATGAGTGAGAATATTTATCTGGGATTCTAAACAAAGAAAGCATCCAAATAATTAAATTGTTTTTTACTTTAAAAAATGTAATGGCTTTCCATTTTTGGAAACCCTATTGTTATAGTAAGTGGAGAATTTGCCATAACATGTATTTAGTTCATGGTAATTGTGTGCTACACTGTACTGTAAGGATCAGATTTGTGGCTGGCTAAAGTGGTGCTTGCCTATAAGCTCATATTGTTAGAAAGTGGAGACCAGAAGATAAAGGTTCAAGACCAGCTTGGGAAAAGCCCCAAGACTCTATCTGAATAAAACACCAAAAGGATTTTGGGCCTGGCTTAAGTGGTAGAGTACCTATCTAGCAAGCCCAAGGCTTAAAGTTCAATTACCAGTACTGAGGAAAGAAGGAAGAAATGGAGAGAGGGAGGAAGAGAGGAGAGAGGGAAGGAGAGAGGGAGAAAGAGAGAAGGATAAGGGAAAGAAGGGAAAAAAGAATTGATTCCTGAGGCCACTGTAGTTAGTTAGGTTGTTCCTTGTTGATTGCACACACCCCTAACTATTCTTGGCTGTTTCGATTTATGCAAGTAATAACATTTAAAATGTCAAATTGTAATTATGCAAACATGTACTTATGTATGAAATGTTATAGTTTATTTTTTCCACTTTTCTCATTTAGAAGTACTTAAATTCTAAAACCACACCTATATATTTGTAGCTATGGATATGTATATATATATATATATAGAGAGAGAGAGAGAGAGAGAGAGAAATAGGCATGAGAAGGGTAATTTGTTAATATATGTGATGTATGTATATATATTTTGTTTATATAAAAGTTTACAATGATATATACCAATTTTCTAACCATAATAAAGAAATGACTCTTTCCTCCCTCCCTCCACCCCCAATACTGAGGTTTGAACTCAGGGTCTTGTACTTGGTAGGCAGGCACTTTATTAATTGAATCACATCCCCAATCCAAGAAGTTATTCATATAGGCTAGTGATACAGCTCAGCCACAGATCACTCATGCACAAGACACTGGGAACTGGAAACAAAACAAAAACTTCAGTTGCCATTCATAAGAATAACCACTTCTTGTTTTTTAAAGTTCATTGCCCTCCAACAACTGATTTTTTTATTTGATTTTTATTTTGTTCTTTGTATTCATCTGTGTTTTCTTTATTTTTCCTTCAGATTATAGATTTGTTTTCTAATGTTTTTAACAATAACTATAGACTTAGATTGAAATTTCAAATTTAAAAGAAGATGACAAAGTGGTGAGCCAATCCTAGAACAGAACCATTGTATCACATTGCACAGAGCCAGCTTAAGTGAGGGGATTAGCTCAAACAGTGTAGAGCTAATGTGGCTATACTTCCTTTACTTTGCTTCCTGATGAAAGGTAGTTTCAGGTATGCTACCTGCAGGGCTACTCCACCACATTCCACTTTCCTGCCACCCCTAATCTTGTTACTAGGCTCTGAGGTAAATGGAGGATTTGCATCCAGCAAGATGGGGGGCATTGCCTGCTTTCCCCTCCTTTTTGTGGCAAGATGAGAAGGAAGGGTGGAACTGGAGCTTGAACACAGAGCCTGGGCACTGTTGTCCTTTAGCTTTTTTGCTCAAGGCTTGCATTCTACCACCTGAATCACGCTCCACTTCTGGCTTTCTGTTGTTAGAGATAAGAGTCTCACAGACTTTCCTGCCTGGGCTGGCTTCAAACCACCATCCTCAGATCTCAGCCTTCTGAATAGCTAGGATTACAGGTGTGAGCCACCAGTGGGCCCAGCAGGCCCTCCTCCTTTTTCATGTTAAACAGTAGTTCTTGGGGCTCTGAATTGATTCTGTGCCAATGAGTGTTCCTTAATAATAACAAAGAGAGACTACTTTGTGTAACTAACACACACACACACACACACACACACACACATACACTGTTAGTGATGGAGCTTTGGGCAGAAATATGGTTCTCATTAAGTACTGTCAGAGTAGGGATGACACACACAGTTGTAGAGATTGTACACTACACAATTGTTCTCTCATTCTGGTCATTTTTAGACTTGAATTACATCTTGAATTATATTTTACTGCAGGTGGCAGTAAAATAGCTTGAGAAGAGGAAAGGCTTTGAAAATCTACACCAAGTTGTCATTTGATATAGCAGGAAAGGATATAACTACCCCAGGGGTTTGTACGCTTCAAACTTAGCAACAAATTTGTGGTTTCCAGTACTCCCAGAACTCCCTTCTGGAGACCACAGTTCTCTTGGCCATCTGTGATCCTAGCCTGACAGTTATCTTCTTCTTCATTTGGCTCTGGTTCTTACTAAACATCTGATCAATGATAGGACTTGGAAGAAACATGCCAACGACTTCCACCAGCAGTCAGCATTGTTTATCAGATGCTATTACAGCTGGGCAGTTTAGGAGACACAGCTCTTTAAGTGTAAACATTGTCTTTCAAAGTACAGTACACATGGCCTGAAAAGAAGAAATCTTGGGTATACCAAGTAGATGCATTTGTTTTACTGCCAGGCAGGTAAAAAAAATAAATAAACATTACCAGATCCTAGATTGGGGACGGTGTCTACCACTCATCTCCCCCTTCCTTTTCAAAGGTAACCACAATCTTGACTTGTGACACCACAAATCAATGTGCCTGTTTTCTATTTTTCTATACATGGACTACACTGCATTTGTGAGGTTTATCCATGATGTAATTGTGAACTATTGTTTGATCATTTTCATTACAGTGGAGTCTGGTTTTGTGTGTCTCAACAATAACCTATTGTTTTCCTTTTTTTTTTTTTTTGTCCACCATGGGGCTTGAACTCAGGGCCTGAGTACTGTCCCTGAGCTCTTTATGCTCAAGGCTAGTACTCTACCACTTTGAGCCATAGTGATACTTCCAATTTTCTGGTGGCTAATTGGAGATAAGAATCTCACAGACTTCCCTGCCCAAGCTGGCTTTGAACCATAATCCTCAGACCAACTGAGTAGCTATGATTACAGGTGTGAACCACCAGCACTCAGCTATTTTTCTATGCTGTTTGTGTTATTTCCAGCATAGGATTATTATGAATGATGATATTGTGAAGATTAATTCAATCGCTGTTTCTATAATCTTAGGCAAGTTAGTCAACTCTTCTAGAGTTCATTTTCCTCATCCATGCAATGGGCTATTAATTGTCATAAGGTTCATATCATATAGTGTAATGCATTTGGCACAGAATCTGAAATTGTGCAGGTGTTGAGTAACAGGAAGATGCCTGTTGGTTTTATGTTTCATTCCCATTCCCCGTGTTCAAACAAAACAGTGTGGTCCCACCTCTCCAGAATACTTTGCTTCTGTGACACTGGTCATAAATGTTGCAGCACCTTTTGGTTACAATGAAATGAGGGAAACATAGAATTATTTTTTTCTGTACAATCCATCCCTCAGCCTTGAATCCCAACAGCAATAAAATCTAGTACAATTCTGATCAGTTATCATGGAAAAATAAGTTCAGTTTCCCTTGGGAATTGGAACACAACACATTTAATGATGAATGTGCAAAATGAAAGATTCTACTCTAACAAGAAAACTTGCTGCTTACCAAGTATATTTTTCACCAGTATCTTGTGTATGTTTGTGTGTGCATGTGTGTGCATACGCAGTCACTGGGCTTGAACGCAGGTCCTGGGTGCTGTTCTTGAGCTTTTGCAACTCAAGGCTAGCACTCTATCACTTAAATTACAGCTCCATTTTTTTTAATTTTGTTTTTCTGTTCTTTCGGCCTTTTTTTTTGCTTTTTTTTTTGGGGGGGGGGAGGCGGTCCGGTCGTGGGGCCTGAACTCTGGGCCTGGGCGCTGTCCCTCAGCTCTTCAGCTCAAGGCTAGCACTCCACCACTTGAGCCACAGCACCACTTCCGGCTTTTTTTCTTTTTGCTTATGCGGTGCTGAGGAATCAAACCCAGAGCCTCATGCATGCAAGGCAAGTGCTCTACCACTGAGTCACCTTCCCAGCCCCCCCCCCCTTTTTTTTTTTTTGGTATTAAAGATAAAAGTCTCACAGACTTTCCTGACTGGGCCAGCTTTGAACCATTATATACAGATATCAGTCTCTTGAATAGCTAGGATTAGTCACAAACTACCAGCAGCTGGTTATCAGTATTTTTTCTTAAACAAAGGAACAAAATTACCTGGCTAATATATTTTGTCAACTCAAATAATCAGTTTTTAAGTATGGCAATTACAAGTGTCCAAACAGCCAAACTGAGTCATGAGCATTAGATTTTAACAGAGCACAATATCATTAGGAAATAATTTAGAGTAGGGCTTAGAAAAAGTCTTGAAGGAAGACAAGCTGAAACTTATAGAAAGAAGAGGGATTTATCTGGGAGTATTTTCTAATAAATTGCATGTGCATCTTATAATAAATAATGGACAGCTGACAATGACATTGGGTTTAATGGAAGGAGCAACAATGAAAACACTGCCCATGTTCCTAGCCCCACATCCATCACACCAGTTCTGACTCTGATGAGTCACTCTGATGTAGTGACTCTTGCATGTCTTGTGTCTTCAGCTATTAATGTGCCTGGATTGACACTGAAGATCTAATGCAGTGTGGCCCCTGATTCAGTAGCTGTGCACTTAGCCTGAGATGCCCACCCTGCTGCTGGTCAGGGGCCCACACTTAGCAATGAGAAAGTATGTGTGTGGAATGAGCAGACTTGTCAGAGTGCTACAGTTAGTTTGTAAATTCTCTGTTGCAGCTCAAGCAAGTTTGCTGCCGTTGGATTTCATAGAGCTTTGACTGATGAAGTGGCTGCATTAGGAAGACCTGGAATCAAAACAACATGTCTCTGTCCTAATTTCATAAACACTGGCTTTATCAAGAACCCAAGGACCAGGTAAGTAGGGACTGCATGGAGACAAAAGGATCCGGGTAGCTATGGATACATCCTGTGGTTTTTCTAAGTATTTGAAAGCCCAAAACACCTGGCATTCAATGCCTTTCATTTACCTTGCTTTCAGTTTCTATGAGATTATGAGAAAACAGGTGAGGAAACAAAGGAGAGAGTGACTACAAATGTAAATATGAATGGCACAGATGCACTTGCTAATCCTTGTTCTTTCCCAAGCAGTGGTTCTTAGACTGAAAGATGTATTTATGTCTCCGGGAGTGTTGGGGACAAAGGTAAAATCTTCACCCACACAGATGATAGTTTATTGGTATAGTGGAGGTAATAGAGTAGTGGAAGGGGGGTCTAGGACTCTCTGAGAGATAACCAGACTACAGAGTGACAAAGTATTGCTTGGGTCATTTAGAAATTATCCTCTAAGCCAGGTGCCAGTGACTCACCTCTGTCATTCTAGCTACTCAGGAAGCTAAGATGTTCAAAACCAGCCTGGGCAGGAAAGTCCATGAAACTCTTATCTTTAATCAACTACCAAAAAAAAAAAAAAAAAAGGAGCTGTGGCTCAAGTGGTAGCCTTGAGTGAAAACACTCTGGAACAACATCCAGGCCCTGAGTTCAGAGCCTCAGGACCTGCACACACACACACACACACACACACTCAGGACCTGCACACACACACACACACACACACTCAGGACCTGCACACACACACACACACTCAGGACCTGCACACACACACACACACGCACGCACGCACACACGCACGCACACACGCACACACACATGCAAAAGAGAGAACTCCTCTAAAATATGTTCTAGACCAAACTTTTGTCTTGTCTAAAAACATAAAGATTATATAGAATCAGTTCTGAGAATACTGTTTAACATTTCTTCTCTTTGGAACTAGCTTTAATGTCTTTATAACCATAAGCATGCTTTAAAAAAACAAATTACAACATTGTGGGGGAAAATTAAATGCATTTCTTTTCAAACTGAGTCTGGTGGAAACTACTTTTTAACATTTTGATAGAAACACTTGTATATATCCATGTATATTAAAAAATGAAAATCTAATTCCAAATAATGAGCATATATTACATATGAGGTTCTGGCAACAGTAAACTGCTGGTTTTTCTGAGCATTATCACCTGATCATCTGTTCATATCAGTGAATTCAGAAATAATTGACAATACATATTATTGTGGATATCTTTTCATGGTTGTTGAATATAGATCTTTATCATAAACTATATTGGTTATTAGAAAAATAGTGCCTCAAGTGATAATTTTAGTGTTTCAACTTTCTGTGTTTTTACCTTATTCATTTTTTGGTTGTATTGAGTTTGAAATCAAGTCTTCCTATTTGCTAGGTAAGTGCTCTTCTGCTGAACCACACCTTCAGCTCTTCAATTTTCTTCCTTTTTAGTAAAGCAGAGCTGTAATGAACATCTTTGTACATGCTGTTTTCACATTTGGGTAATTGTTTTCTTCAGGAAGATTTGTAAGGAGGCAATACTGAATCAGATGCAATATTTCCAAGTTGTAAATATTTGTGGCTCAGATATTTCTATATCTATTCTATTTCTAGTAGCACTATATCACCTGCCCTTTTAGTAATCTTTTTTTATCAGTACTGGAGTTTAAACTCAGGACCCTGCTTTTGTAAAGAGGTGCAATATCACTTGAGTCATGACCACTTGGCTTTTATTTTTCAAGTAGTGTCTCATTTTTGCTCAAGTAAGCCTAGAATGTGAGCCTCCTATTTATGCTTCCTGTGTACTTGGGATGACAGGTGTGTACTAGTGTCCAACTTTTTATTGCTTGAGATGTGATCTTGTGCTCCTAGAAGGGATGATGATGTGGCTCAGGTTTAGAGTACTGGCCTTGAACCATCATCTTCCTGATCTCAGCCTCCAGAGTATAGAATAACTGGCTTGAGCCACTGCCTCCCTTTAGTAGGTATTTTATTATTACACTTTTACATCAAACTATTCTTTCTACCCAAATTTATTTTAATTTAAGAAATAGGTTATGGCATAGTTTAATTGCTTTGCACAAATAATGAGTTAATACAATAATATATTATTTTTCTCACTGATTTAAAATTTATATCCTACTAAATTCACATACTGACTTGAACTGTGTTTTTTTTAACCCCTTGTTCTATTGTATTGTTAAGATTTGGTGTTTTATCTTCATTCTACCCTTTCAAACTTCATCCCTCTTTCTTCCAGTTTAGCTGTTCTTGGTAAAATGCATTTGATATTGATGAGGAATATTGAGTTTGGCCACTTGAGCAGTAGTAGGCTCTCTTGTTGTTATTGTTTCTGTTGTTAAAGTCAAACTGTCTTTCAGTAGTTAAAAACACCATATTTTAAAGTTATAGTTGGCTGTTTTTAAAATTAGTTATAATTGTTGTTATTAAGTAGTTGTACAAAGGGGTTACAATTCCATGTCAGGTTATGAATACAATGCTTCTTGGTCGATGTCACCCCTTCCTTTGTGCTCTCCATCCATACCCAAAAGTTACATAGCTCATTTTTTATATAATGTTTATTGGATATAATGACTACATTATATTCAATTATATATTACATGTTTGAATGTTTTAACCTAGTCCCTGGACAAGGCTGCAAGGTAAGATCGCCATCTTTTGGCAAAACTTTGCCAGTACAATTAAGAAATAATTAGGAAACTAAAAGTGTGACTAGAAGCTAATAATTCTTGCTTAATCATAGAAATCCAAACCTGCCCTGGCAAAGCTGATGGTAGAGGGCATACTAAAGATGAAGTTGGTTCAAATACATAAATTTGGTACTTTTAAGTAGAGGGAAGAATGTATATCCTAATTGAACGTGTGTGTGTGGGGGTGTGGGGGTGTGGGTGTGGGTGTGGGTATGTGTTCTGGAATTCAATCCAGGGCCTAGATGCTGTCCCTGAGCTTTTTTTTGCTCAAGGCTAGTGCCCTGCCACTTAGGACACAGCTCCACTTCTGGTTTTCAGATAGTAAATTGGAGATGAGTCTTCAAGACTTTCCTGCCTGAGTTGGCTTTGAACCGTGATCCTCAGATCTCAGCCTCCTGAGTAGCTAGGATTACAGGCATGACTTACCAGCACCCAGACAACTTTACAGTATTTGTTTTTTTGGGGGTTCAGTCATGGGGCCTGAACTCTGAGTCTGGACGCTGTCCCTCAGCTCTTCAGCTCAAGGCTAGCGCTCTACCACTTGAGCCACAGCGCCACTTCCGGCTTTTTTTCTTTTTGCTTACGTGGTGCTGAGGAATTGAACCCAGGGCCTCATGCATGCAAGGCAAGCGCTCTACCACTGAGCCACCTTCCCAACCCAACTTTACAGTATTTTAAGAGAGATGTTCCTATTCCTTTTTCATAGGTAAGAGTTATGCCCATAAACAGCATAGCAGACCTCTAGACCAAGAAACACAGAACCAGATTTCTGAGTGAAGAGAATCAAAGCAACCTTCAAATGGCTAAATTTGAACTATGATATCTTGGGAGGATTTTTGTTTGTTTGTTTGGTACAAGTATTAAGGCTTGAACTCAGGGCCTCATATGTTCACTTGCCTTTTCTGCTCAAGGCTTGTGATTTAGCATTTGAGCCACAGCTTCACTTTTGCTTTTTGCTGGTTAATTTGGTATGAGTCTCACAAACTTGCCTGCCTGGACTACCCTCAAAATTCCAAACTGCAATTCCCAGATCTCAGCCTCCTGAGTAGCTAGGATGACAGATGTGAGCCACTGGCACCCAGGCGTTTTTGAGAAAAACATGTATTCTTATGTTAGTAGATTGGGGGGGGGGAACAGTTTTATCACATACTATACAACAATGGTGTAAATGGTGTATAATGTAACTGTTTGCTTCCATGTTACCATCCTACCCACTGCCCATGGGCACTGGCTTGCAATCATTCAGCAATGTCACTAGGGTAGCTTAATACCAGCCAAATTGGGAGACCATGAAAATCAGCAAATGGAACCAAACTGGCATTGCTGTCCTCTGGAGATCCTGTTGTTGCCATCATTCCATCACCTTATCCCAATTTGAGACTAAGAAATGCAAAATGAGTCGAATATTTCCCCCAAATTACTCAGCTACTTAGATGGTCAAGTAAGCAGGAGACAAGATAGAGAAGCAGACTGTGCTTCCAAAGTGAAAACAATCCCTGCTCTTCTACCCCCAGTATCCCTGGCTCCCACAGGCACCATCCCACAACCCCCCCCCCCAATTGATTAAATGGTTTCTGTACGGTTTCTACAAACTCCATGGAACATTTGTTTAATTTCATTGACATTAGAAGGTTAGGGGAAAAACATTGCTAATTAGTGCATTTGTGTACATTTTTATTCTACCAAGAAATTTGGTTTTCTTACTCTTCTGAATACCTTTGGTTTGTTTTGTTTTTGTCAGTCATTGGGTTGAACTTAAGACCTGGGCACTGTCCCCGAGCTTTATGTTCAAGACTGGTGCTCTACCACTTTGAGCCACAGCTCCACTTCTAGTTTTCTGGTGGTTAATTGGAGAGAAGAGTCTCACAGACCTTCTTGCTGGGGCTGGCTTTGAACCGGGATCCTCCAATTTCAGCCTCCTGAGTAGCTAGGATCGATTACAAGCGTGAGCCACCAGCACCTGGTTTACCCTTTGGTATTTTTAAGCCAATAATATTGTGAAGTATTTGGTAGACATGTATGAAGGGAGAATAATGAAATAATGAATTGTTTAAAGTAGAGGGTGAGGCAGGTGGGGTGGGGGCACATGGAGGAGAAGGATTGAAAGAGGGAGGTGAGTTTGACAAGGATACCTTGTGCATGCAAGGAAATGTCACAATGAAACCCCTTTAGACAATTTATTTGCATAAATAAATAAAACTATATTGGCCAGCCATTAGATTGGAAATAGAAGGTCTGTGAAAGGGACTCAGAACATCAGGTAGACTGGGTACAAGGTAAAAAATTCAGGCACTGAAGTAGCATTTGCTTGGCAGGGTAGCAGGGCCTCCATGCTGACAGAGTGTGCTGCACCATTCATGCACTCAGATGTTATGGATTACAAGGAGTCTGGGATCATGGAGGCTGGTAGCCAGAATGAGACTCTGAAATGCTTAGCAAGGCACAGCATCTTTCAGTTTCTGGGCTCATCTTCCCAGGTGTCCATACCTGCCTATCTGGTTTGTGTCTTCTTTTTTTTCTATCCTTCTTTATTCTTTTTTTTCTCTCTCTCTCTTTCTCTATCTCTCTCTTTCTTTCTTTCTTTTCTTTCTTTCAACAGTACTGAGGTTTGAAGTCAGGGCCTCTTTTGCTTGCTCACTTTGCCTTTTTGCTGGTTAATTGGAGATGGAACCTGAAAGACTTTTCTACTGGGACTCGCTTTAAAAAAAGATCCTCCAGATTTCAGCCTCCAGAGTAGTGAGGCTTGCAAGTATGAGCCACCAGCATCCAGCTTTAACATCTAGATCTTAAGAAGCCATGCTTTGGGGACCACCTACTAATCAGTGGTACATATGCCTGGGTGATTACATAGGGCGGTTGTCAGATAGAATGAAGTCAGGAGGCTGACCAATAAATCAAGACCTAATAAATCTGGAGCTTCCAGGTAGGATAAAAGTCCAAAAGCCAGACATATAGCGATTACATTTTATTTACTTGGATACTTCACTGTATATCTAATAAAACTTGTGTAATTGTGCCCAAGTCAAATGAAGGTTCAAAAATGAACTTTCCCTAATCTAGCTAAATCATTTCTGAATCCTAATTACTTCCATAATCCTCATTTGTAAAATAAGGATCATAGATCAAGTGCTTTAGGTTGTTGTACAACTTCAGTGCGACAACCTACATAGACTAAGCAGCACAGAGTAACGTTATAGAGACTGTGCTTGCTGATACTCATAATTAAGTGCTGCTCTCTCTAGGCATCTGTAAGGACTGCCTGCTGCAGATGAGCTAAGCTTCAAGTCTTGCAGTGGGTTCCTTTCCTTGCAGTGAGTCCCCCCCCCCCCCCCCCCCCCCGCACAATCTCAGAGGGCTTCTGTTTCTAAAGACTGCCTCTGATTTCAGCTTAGGACCCACCCTGGAACCTGAGGAAGTTGTCAGCAAGCTCATGAATGGAATCCTGACTGAGCAGAAAATGATTTTTGTTCCATCTTCTATACTCATTTTAACGGCACTGGAAAGGTAAGTAATGGATAAATTTGTTAGCATAAAAGCAAATGGCTATTACACTGTAAGTTGAACTCAGGTCCTCAGAGTTGGGTCACATTACCACTTGAGCTCTCCAACTAACATGCCAGAATGTTTTAAATACATGTGTTCACCCATTGTCTGTGTCTCACATCTGTAATCCTAGCTACTAGGAATCATGGTACGAAGTCAGCAAGAGCAGGAAAGTTCACGAGAGTCTTATCTCCAATTAACCACCAAAAAGCCTGAAGTGGAGTTGAGGGTCAAGTGGCAGAAAGCCAGCCTTGAGTGAAAAAATTGAGTGAAAAAAATTGTAAGAGACAGCACTACCCAGGCTCTGAGTTCAAACCCCAGTACTGCATGCATGCATGTGTGTACGCATACACACACACACACACACACACACACACACACACACACACACAGAGTGTGTGGTAATGATATTGGTAAACCATTTTCATGTTTTCTTAAAGTCTTTGTAAGGAAAACAACAATAGTGAAATTTGCGTATTTCTGGAACTGTTGTCTTGTGAATGAATTATTATAAGTGACTTTTTTTTTTGGTCAGTTGTGGGGCTTGACCTTTGGGCCTGGGCACTGTCCCGCAGCTCTTCAGCCACAGCACCACTTCCGGCTTTTTCTGCTTTGTGGTGCTGAGGAATGGAACCCAGGGCCTCATGCATGCAAGGCAAGCACTCTACTGCTGAGCCATCTTCCCAGCCCTATAAGTGATCATTTTAAAGTGTTTTTCCATTGTGGATTTGTAAGAAAGTGAGTTCATTTCTAAGTACTCATTCACTATGTAGAAAACCACACTGAAGTATAGGAGTTGCTATTTGACCTTATCATTGAGCCTAATTCCTTCCAATGAGGCCCATGGGTTTTTTTTAGCATCACTATCTCTGGGGAGTTGCTTAGAAACACAGATTCTCCAGATCTTAGTAAAAATTTGCATGTACAGAAGATCACCACATCACTATGCTTTATAAAATCTCAGAAACACTTCTTTGATGAATATTGCAATTACCTGAAAGGTTTTGAAAATGCAGATGTAGCCTGGTGCAGATAATCCCTGCTAATCAGGAGACTAAAGCCCAGAGGATTGAGATTTAAAACCAGCCTGGACAGAACAGTCCAGGAGACTCAAATCTCTAAAATAACATCAAAAAACAGGACTGGAGGCATGGCTCAAGGGATACAGAACCAGCCAAACAAGCAAGCCAAGCTTGGTACAAGTGCAAGGCCCAGAGTTCAAACCCTGGTTACAATAACAACATTAAAAAAAAATACTTACACTCAGACTGATTCTCAAGGGTCTTATTTAATTGGTGTGGCCTATGGCCGGGCTTTAAGAGGTTTAGGACCTCTCCACGTGATTCTAATGCACAGCCAAGACTTGGAAGCCCAGCAATTTAAAAAAAAACTTCACCATGGCTTGACTGCGAAAACTGTGCTGCTGAAGTTGGTCCAGTAATGAGTGGAAAGTGAGGGATGAGGACAAAAAGTCTCTTGCTGCCCACGCTGAGACTCAAGATTGCCTGAATTGGGATCTGAATCACTTGTGAAATCTATTTGAAAAGCAGATTCCTGGGGCTGGGAAGGTGGCTCAGTGGTAGAGCGCTTGCCTTGCATGCATGAGGCCCTGGGTTCGATTCCTCAGCACCACATAAGCAAAAAGAAAAAAGCCGGAAGTGGCGTTGTGGCTCAAGTGGTAGAGCGCTAGCCTTGAGCTGAAGAGCTGAGGGACAGCGTCCAGGCCCAGAGTTCAGGCCCCACGACTGGACCAAAAAAAAAAAAAAAAAAACAGATTCCTGGATTTCATTTCTACAGATATTAATGTATTTGAGTTGCAACTCTGAAGTTTCTATTTTAACAGGTATCTGCCACCAACAGTCCAAAGATTTACAGAACTATCATCACAAAAAAATAATAATAATAAGTCACGAGATCCAAAGTATGGTATGTGTCAGGCTTGCCAATCCTGTAATAAGAACCAAAGTTGAATACTGGAAGGTTTAGGTAATGAATCTGAATCTCCAGGGTGTCCTTGATGAGAAAAGAGTTAAAACCTGACAAGTTTCTTGTTTGCTTGCTTTTTTTTTTACTTTTTGTTGGTCCTGGGGCTTGAACTCAGGGCCTGGGAACTATCCCTGAGCTTTAGTGTTCAGGGCTGTCTCTCTACCACTTGAGGCCCAACTCCACTTCCAGCTTTTTTTTTTTTTTTAGTAGTTTATTGGCGATAAGAGTCTCATGGACTTTTCTGCCCAGACTAAACTGGAACCCTGATCTTCAGATCTCAGCCTTCTAAGTTGTTAGGATTATAGGCCTGAGCCACTGGCACCTGGCAAAACCTGTAAGGTTTGAACATTTTACATGACACATGGCATAAGCAAGCATTTAGCTATGACAGCTCTGAAGAATATCATCCTCCAGAGAAAGAACTTGGCCAGTGTTTTATAAAGAGTGGCTGACGTATAGGACACATCAAAATGTTTGCCAATTGAATAGATGAATTCTAATCCCTAGACTCTGTGTGTGTGTGTGTGTGTGTGTGTGTGTGTGTGTGTGTGTGTGTGTGTGTGTGTGTGTGTGTGTGTGTGGCTTTTTTACTCAAGGCTGTTGCTCTACCAGCCTTTGCTGGTCTTTTGCTAGTTAATTAGAGATAAGAATCTTAATGGGCTATTCTATTGGGACTGGAAGATCCTCAGATCTTAGCCTCCTGAGTAACTAGGATGACGGGCATAGGCACCAGCACCTGGTTCAAATCCCTAGCCTTTTAACATGGAGACTCAGTGTGGTCTCTGGAGTTAGATGTTCTTGCAACGTGAATGAAGATGAGTTGCACAACATCTTTGATGCTCAGCTTCTTCAACTGTAAAATGAGCTGAGTAGGGAAAAAACAAATCGTTTAAATAGGTGGACCCATTGCAACAATGAGACGCACAAGTCGTTATGTCGAAAACGAACTTTACAACTTTGATGGGGGGGGAGGGCTGGGGGGGAACAGGGGGGCAGGGAGGATAGGATGGGAAGGGTAAACAAAGGAGGAAGCTACAATGCTTGATAAGAAATATACTCATTATCTTGCCCATGTAATTGTAACCCCTCTGTATAGTATTTTCACAATAAAATAAAAAAAGATAAATGGAAAAAAAATAAGATGAGCTGAGAGAGGAGTCATTGAGATAGTACAATTAAGATCTCACCACCATTCACTATTACTACCACTACTACTACTCTCATTGGTGAGTGTACATTACCAAATCCTATTTTAATGCAGTCTGATAAATCTCTGTGGGTCATGACACTGACTTACATATTCTGCAGATTTTCTCTCACTGGAATGTGACAAATCTTTTTTTTTTCTTTTCCTGCTTGCTTTTTTGCCTGTCCTGGGGCTTGAACTCACAGCCTAGATGCTGTCCCTGGGTTTTTGTTTTTTTTTTTTGCTCAAGGATAGTGCTCTACCACCTGAGACACAGCTCCATTTCCAACTTTTTTGATAGTTAATTGGAGATAAGAGTCTCATGGACTTTTTGATAGTTAATTGGAGATAAGAGTCTCATGGACTTTCTTGCCTGGACTGGCTTTGAACTGTGATCCTCAGATCTTAGCTTCCTGAGTACCGCTAGGATAACAGACATGGGCCATAGCACCCAGATCCTAAATTTATACTTAATTCTTAAGTATAGATTGAGAAAATAGATAGGACCTGCTACATGTCCATCACAGTTTAAGATCTTTTATATGAATACATAGATTCCTATAAGGAATAAAGTATTCTTACAAAGAACACTTGTGAGGTAGGCATTAATTATTCCATTTATTTGTGAGTTATTTAAACCTAAAGGCCAGTTGATTTATTCCACATTATGTTCAAAACCCAGGTGCATGGTCTACATTTTCAGTTGGCAGTTCTATTTCCTCGGTTTTTCAGTGGAACATTTAAATGACATTCGGAATTATAAAATTAGCTCTCACTTTTATTTGCAATGGCAAGTTTCCTTTTTTAAACCGTTAGCATTCAACTACTCATTCCAACTAATTTTTCACCTAATCTCTTGAAAAAAAAGTGGAGAAGCACATTTAAAAAACAAATATAGCTAGGTAATCTATATTTCAAATGACCTTTGTCGCTGAGCACCCATAGTTCACATCTATAATCATAGCTACCAAGGAGGTTGAGAACTAAGGATCTGGGTTTGAAGCTAGCCTGGGCAGAAAAATCTAAGAAACTGTTATCTCCAACTAACCAGCAAAAAAGCTAGAAATTGAGGTGTGGTTCAAGTTGAAGTGCTCCAGCTTTGTGTAAAAAAGCTAAGCAATAGACATAGGCTCTGAGTTCAGGAAATAACTACACTAACAAATGTAAACTTTGAGTTACTACTACCCTAAGAAAGTGAAGCTTCCTTACTTTTCATTTTAAAAGAAAACTGAATTTAATAGAGAAGACTATAGTCAAAATTCAGAGTAAAAGTTTGTAATCATGTCTAAAATGGACTTGACATTAGCATGTGTTAATTATAAATATTATAAAAGTTTTGAGGTTTTTTGTTTTCTTGTTTATTTTTTGTTTTATTTTAACTTTATTGCTATCTTCAAAAAGAAGATATTTTGTAAATGAACATAATAATTTTCTATTCATTTTTACATATCTTTCTTTCAGGATCCTTCCTGAGCGTTTCCTGGTAATTTTGAAACAAAAGATCAACATTAGGTTTGATGCAGTTATTGGATATAAACCCTAAGGATAAAAAGTGCCTTATTTTCTTGAAAACTAATTTACCAGATTTAAGACAATTTCATGTAGTGTTAATCAAAATTTAAATGTTTTAACTTCTGATTTTCCTGATTATCCTCTTATCTTTAATATTGTATTTTGAGATTCTAACAACATTCATTACTTCTGGTTCTTTAGCTGAAAGCTAATTTTATGCAGTGAACTAAATATCTTAAGAGTTATTCACATGGAAAATAAGAAAAGAAGACAAAAACAATTTTATGACAATAATTGCCTAGATATGTGCCTCATCTAAAGGTTTGCAAACTATGTACAATCGATGTTTACTTAGGATATATGATTTTGAATGGCACTTTAACTTTATGTAATTTGTGTTTGCTGTTCTATTCTGAACACGACTAGAAATGTTAAGTTGTACATCTCTAGATAGAAAGCTCTCTAGCTGTATCTAGTAGCATTTCATGGTGAATTTCATGAGTTCCACACATTTCATCCTGCACATTGCCACCATGTTTCCTGAGACATACCTCACATTCTAAAGTCAAATGCTCAGCCCAAGGAAACTATAGGTGGTACATGTGCCAAGTAGAAAGGCATGGTGGGAGGAGAGTAAGGGAGTGCAGTTATACATGGCAACAATAAAAAATGAAACTGACCACATTTTGCCTTGCCTTTTATTTTCCTTTTTGTCTTTTAAAAAACTGGCTAACCACCACGTGCCAGTGGCTCATACCTGTAATCCTATCTGCTCAGGAACCTGACATCTGAGGGTAACAGTTCAAAGCCAACCCCGGCAGACAATTCCCCATGAAACTCTTACCTCCAATTAACCACCCAAAAACTAGAAGTGTCTCTGTAGCTCCAAGTGATAGAGCTCAAGCCTTGAGCAAGAGAGCTCAGGTACAGCATCCAGGCCCCAAGTTCAAACCTTACAACACACACACACACACACACACACACACACAAACCCAAAAATGGCTAACCTTCAAATTAAATCAATCATGTAAAAAAAAAAGATGTTTTTGTTCTTGTTTTAGAAATTTCTTGGCTATGAGGTTCAGGGAGATAAAAGACACACAACAAATAAAGGAAATCTCATCAAGAAAATTTACTTCTGTGCAGAAGGGTACATAGACACTCTCCCCAGAGTTACGCAGGCACACCAGGTGGGGCTGTCTGCTCAGTTTTTATCTCAACCCAAGCTGCCCCTCCTCTTTGTCAAGGAGTCAGGCTCACATCTTATTCTCAACTGGTTACCAGGGTGATGGGCTAATGCAAGGAAGTTAGAAAGCACTCCAGCTGACAGTGAAAAATTGCCCACTAAAGAGGGTTCTATTCTTCAACTCCAATGATAAGGACTCATACCCTAGATGCAAGTGGATGGTAACAAACATGGCTGAAAAGGAAAACCTTCATACATCTACATAGAGAAATACCTTTGTACAACTACAGAAAGATAAAAAGAAAAAACACCACAGCTGATAACTGCAGTTTGAAGTCAAGAAGCAACTAATTCCAGGAAATAGCAGTACTAGAAAATGTCAATAAAGAATGGTTTTGACAGAAGAAAAAATTGCTTTTTCTCACAAACTTTAACATTAAACATTACAAGAGGACTGGGAATGTGGCTTAGTGGTAGAATGCTTGCCTGGCATGCATGAAGCCCTGGGTTTGATTCCTCAGCACCACATAAACAGAAAAAGCCAGAAGTGGCACTGTGGCTCAAGTGGTAGAGTGCTAGCCTTGAGCTAAAGAAGCTCAGGGACAGGACTGAGTACAAGCAACAGGACTGGCAAAATAAAAGTTCCCCCTTCATAGTCAGATGAGAAAAATTCATCTCAGTCACTGGCAGAGCTGCTTATAAGGGTCACATCAAAATCAGAAAGATTGTCAGGTGCTGGTGGCTCACACCTGCAATCTTAGCTACTCAGAAAGCTGAGATCTGAGGATTACAGTTCAAAGCCAGCCCAGGCAGGAAAGATCATGAGACTTATCTTCAATGAACCAGCAAAAAAGCTGAAAGTATAACTGGTTCAAATGGTAGAATGATAGCCTTGAACAAAAAAAGCTCAAGGTCAGTGCCCAGGCTCCAAGTTCAAGCCTTGTACTGGCACTTTAAAAAAAATCAAAAAGGTTTATGTTGGGGTGGAGGGGGAGTTAGGAAAGTAGGGAGGGTAAGGGTGGTAGGGGAAAAACAAAGGAGGTAACAATGCTTGATAGGAAATGTATTCATTACCTTACTCATGTAACTGTAACCCCTCTGTACACTGTTTTTACAATAAAAAACATTAAAGGTTTATGTTATGTTTGGGTAAATTAAGAAATACTCTGGTTGTCAGCTGTTATGATGTAGTGTGGTCCTGCAGTAGTATAGTAGGGAGTCCTCCAGTGCTGATAATTAGCTTTGAGGTCACTTGACTGGATTGAAAAGTGCTTCTGGGATTAGCAAAGCATACTTCTCTCTCTTTCCTCTTCTGGATATTTGGGTGTATCTGGGAGGGCTTTTCCAGAGATGACCTACTAAGGAGGGTAGAACCTCCCCTCCCCACTTGATGTAGGTGGGGACCTGGATAGAAAAAAGGCAAACAGAAAGCAGCCTCCTAGCACAGGCTTCTCCTTCTCTTCACCCCCTCTTTTTCTTCTCCCCTTCCTCTCTCTTCCATTTCTCCTCTCTTCCTTCTTCTTCTTCCCCCTTCTCTATCCCTCCCTCACTTCCTCTCTTCCTCTTTTTCTACTTTGTCTCTCTACCTCTCTTCCTCTTCCTCTCTTGTTTCTCTTCTCTCTCTCATTCACTTGCCCTCCCCACTTCCTGGCTGCCATTAGGTGAATAGCTCTGCTATACCACACTCATCTAATCTGCCAGGATACTCTGCCTCACCACAGCCCAGAAACAATGCAGCCAGCCAACCACACATTGTTTTAAAACCTTGGCCAAACTAGATCTTTCTTTTTCCTGGTACTTTGTGACAGCAGCAAAAAAGTGTTAACATAGATGGCAAATGGCTGTCTTGTTCACAAGGTACAGACTTCTTCACTGGAAGGGAACCTAGCTTCCTTCAAGCTTTCCTTTGAGAGCTTTCTGTCATCCTGGTTCTGTGCCATAGGATTGCCTGGTCTCTTTTTTATTTCCATGGAAAATATTCCTAGGATTGCCTTCAGAAACAATCCTACCACTCTCACTTGCCAGAAATCTAACTTTTATTGGAAACAAGGATCAGAATATATGGGGAAACAGGTTAAGGAAAGGGGTTAAAATGACCCTTAGTACAACTTCAGCACCAGCCAGCTTGGCTAGTGACTAAACAAATGTTACTGCAGCAGGGAGGGGAAAGGGAAAATGGTTGATTGGGTAAATTTGACCTAGATATACTGTGTGCATATGTGGAAACAGCACCATAAACTGCTCTCCAGGGGCTGGGAAGGTGGCTCAGTGGTAGAGCACTTGCCTTGCATGCTCGAGGCCCTGGGTTCAATTCCTCAGCACCACATAAGCAAAAAGAAAAAAGCC